TGTGGGAAACCTACATTTCCTATAATATTAACCAGTTTGGGGTTAAAAGGGAGAGACTATTTCACTCAACATAATGAAATAAGCCAATCCCAAAGGGACAAATACCACTTGTTCTCCTTGATAGGTGACAACTAACTGAGCACCAAAAAGGAAACCTGTTAAAGTGAAATGAACACTAGGAGAAATGGTGACTTGATCAGCCCTCACCCTGACTGTTGATGAGCAGCTTAATATGTTATCCCTCTTAGTATCTTTTTTGTTTGTTCTACTTAATACTTTTGGTTGAATACTGTAATCAATACACAATTCTTCTTAAGTGCTGAAACTTAACTGAAACGTGATCACTGTTAAATATAAGAGTGAGAATAAGAGAGGGAAGAGATGTGCAATTCGGGACATGCTCAAGCTGACTTGCCTCAAACGGTGGAGTTAGAAACATACCAGGGGGCCGGCGCCGCGGCTCACTAGGCTAATCCTCCGCCTAGCAGCGCCGGCATACCGGGTTCTAGTCCCGGTTGGGGCGACGGATTCTGTCCCGGTTGCCCCTCTTCCAGGCCAGCTCTCTGCTGTGGCCCAAGAGTGCAGTGGAGGATGGCCCAGGTGCTTGGGCCCTGCACCCCATGGGAGACCAGGAAAAGCACCTGGCTCCTGGCTCCTGCCACTGGATCAGTGAGGTGCACCGGCCGCAGCGTGCTGGCCGCGGCGGCCATTGGAGGGTGAACCAACGGCAAAGGAAGACTTTTCTCTCTGTCTCTCTCTCTCTCACTGTCCACTCTGCCTGTCAAAAAATAAAAAAAAATAAAAATAAAAAATAAAAAAAATAAAAAAAAAAGAAACATACCAGGGGATTCGAATTCAATCCCATCGAGGTGGCATGTACCAATGCCATCTCACTAGTCCCAGTGATCAATTTCTGTCCACAATTGATCGTAATGATAGGACTAAGAACCAAAGGGATCACATAAACAAGAATAGTGTCTGCAAATACTAGCTGATAGAATAAAAAAGGGAGAGAATGATCCAACATGGGAAGTGAGATACACAGCAGACCCATAGAATGGCAAATGTCCTAACAGCACTCTGGCCTCATAATCAGCCCTTAAGGCATGCGGATCCAGCTGAAAAGCCCATGAGAATATTTCAGGCATGGAAAGCCAAGACACTCTGGGGGGAAAAAAAAACCTAAATGAAAGATCTCCGTGAGTGAGATCCCAGTGGAAAGAATGGGTCATCAAAGAAGGAGGTACCTTTTTCTGAAGGGAGGAGAGAACTTCCACTTTGACCATGGCCTTGTCTAAATATGATCAGAATCAGTGAACTCAGGGGGCTTCCATAGCCTTGGCAGCTCATGACAAGAACCTAGGGTGATTACTGAGGCCATAAACAAGAGTGTCAATTTGTTAAGTCAACAACAGGAGTCACTGTGCACTTACTCCTCATTTAGGATCTTTGTCCTTAGTGTGCTGTACATTGGGATTTAATGCTATAACTAGTACTCAAACAGTATTTTTCACTTTATGTTTCTGTGTGGGAGCAAACTGTTGAAATCTTTACTTAATGTATGCTAAACTGATCTTCTGTATATAAAGAGAATTGAAAATGAATCTTGATGTGAATGGAAGGGGAGAGGGAGCGGGAAAGGGGAGGGTTGCGGGTTGGAGGGACGTTATGGGGGGGAAGCCATTGTAATCCATATTCTGTACTTTGGAAATTTATATTCATTGAATAAAAGTTAAAAAAAAAAAAGGGAGAGACTAGAGCCAGCTTAAAAGGCAATGAATCTACTCATTTTATCTTAATTTTATATTGTCATAAGGGAATTAACACATTTTTACAAAGTGGTAATTACTTACTACAACCTAGCCTCTGCCTACCATTCTCCTTGGAAGATAAAGGAAGAATGCATTTCACTCCCTGCTTGTGGAACCAAGTGTCCTAGAGGAGTAGGAATGAGAAGTTCAGAAGTGATGAGAGAAGCTGCAGGTAACAGGTGGCCCTGGGATAAGAGTGCTTGGAGCCTCTCAGGAATAAACAGAGGAGCCTAAGCTTCCAGCCAGCATCCTGGTCAGAGTTAGAATTATTGTCAGTAGTATTAAAGGAAGAGAGGATTTCTGGGATATAGAAATTTGGAGAATTTAGGTTACCAAAGTCAAATCCCCACTAATCATGTGATTACTGTTCCACAATGAGCAGGGAGTAAATATTAGAGCACAAAGGTCAACTTAGTGTGGAGGGGTGAGGAATATCTATGGGCTATTCTTTAAAATGAGTAGGTCAGCCGGCGCCGTGGCTCAATAAGCTAATCCTCCACCTTGCGGCGCCGGCAAACCGGGTTCTAGTCCCGGTTGGGGCGCCGGATTCTGTCCCGGTTGCCCCTCTTCCAGGCCAGCTCTCTGCTATGGCCAGGGAGTGCAGTGGAGGATGGCCCAGGTGCTTGGGCCCTGCACCCCATGGGAGACCAGGAAAAGCACCTGGCTCCTGGCTCCTGCCAGGATCAGCGCGGTGCGCCGGCTGCAGCGGCGGCCATTGGAGGGTGAACCAGCGGCAAAGGAAGACCTTTCTCTCTCTGTCTCTCTCTCTCACTGTCCACTCTGCCTGTCAAAAAAAAAAAATAAATAAAATAAAATAAAATAAAATAAAATGAGTAGGTCTACTAATAACAGACATCAACTTTAATGAGCATACTCTTTAAAAAAAAATAAAATAAAAGGTGCAGTTACAGAGAGAGAATCTTCCAGGTGCTGATTCACTCCCCAGATGGCTACAATGGACAGGGCTGTGCCAGGCCGAAGCCAGGAGCTTCTTCAGGGTCTCCCACGTGGGTAGCAGGAGCACAAGCACTTGGGTCATCTTCTGCTGCTTTCCCAGGCACATCAGCAGGAGCTGCTTTGCAAGTGGAGAGCCAAGTCTCAAACCAGGCGCCCAAATGGGACGCTGGTGCTGCAGGCAGCAGTTTAACCAGCTGTACCACAGCACAGGCCTGTGAGCATACTCATTACTTTAAAAAAAAAAAGCAATGTTTTATAACCAACAAAACATGAGTGTCTTCATTTGCTGATTCACTCCCCAGAATGGCTACAATGGACAGGGCTGTGCCAGGCCGAAGCCAGGAGCTTCTTCAGGGTCTCCCACGTGGGTAGCAGGAGCACAAGCACTTGGGTCATCTTCTGCTGCTTTCCCAGGCACATCAGCAGGAGCTGCTTTGCAAGTGGAGAGCCAAGTCTCAAACCAGGCGCCCAAATGGGACGCTGGTGCTGCAGGCAGCAGTTTAACCAGCTGTACCACAGCACAGGCCTGTGAGCATACTCATTACTTTAAAAAAAAAAAGCAATGTTTTATAACCAACAAAACATGAGTGTCTTCATTTATATGCTTCATTCTGATATTCTATACCCATGGGGAGAAGAGAATATGTAGAAATATTAAGGTGATTTTCTACAGTTTTTATATGTACTGTTTTTTACTCCTGAAGAAAATACTGAACAGTATTACTGCTTCTCATTTTATCTGTGACCTTCAGTTACCCTATTTGTAAAGAGATTTGCCAAGGTCAGTATTGATTCAGCAGCAAAATTAGCAAGAATTATTTAATTCCATTCAGTTCAGTGCAGCCTTTAATAAGCAAATCTAGACTCTAGAAATTGTAAGTCTCCCATAGCTGGGCCGCATTTTCTAACATTATAGCATCTCCCAGACAGACTAGAAGTCTAAATTTGAAATTCAGAACAGAAAACCAAGTTTCCTCAAAAGGATAATGAATGAGGCACCAGGACTGCTTGTCATTCTCTCTTCCTTACTGGAGTGGTACCTGCCACAGGCCTTTTTCTGAAACAGTTGTACCAAGATCTTCCCCTAGTTCTAACTGGCTAGGGTTTACTTGGAAATAAGAGGCTCTGAAAATCCCTTTTCTTTGTGAGACACAGAATGGTCCTGATACTTTGCTTTATGTGAACTGTAAATTGGATCTCTGATTAGGACGATGGGCAACACATACTCTTTAGAACTTTTCTTCCTGATTATTTTTCTACACTCCAAAATGAATCCGATATGAGGCAACAGTTTTAAAAATAGAATGCAGGCTTAACTATATTTTACATAAACTGACATCCTTATTATATAGAAAAATAGGAACTTCAGATGCATTCCCAACTGCTCATTCTGCATTCCTAAAGTGGCAGCTCTATAAAGGGAGGTTAACTCCATCTCTAAAAGCTTCCATCTATTTGAAGACCACATAACCTAAGCACAACTCTGTGCTTTCTAAATTTTACTACACAGAATCACCAAACCTCCAAATTTGTCATTCTTCCTAACTTGCACAACTAGGATGATAGAAAAAAATGTGTTAAGCATGTGTTCCACTGACTCAAATACATTTACTGAAGGTTAGAAAGAGGACTGCTATGGTCCTCATGATGTCAAGTTGGTAAGGGCAGAGGGGACCAAGCAGCTCACAAAGAAAGGCAACTTCATGGAAGATATTCCATGACACTCTACTTAATGGACTAAGAATATTTTTTAAAATGCATTTTAGCAATTAACTATCATTAGGGGTATAATCTTAGTGCTTCAAATATCCTGTGGCAACCATTTCCACCATCCTCAGACAATGCATTGCTTCTTGTGCAATTAGTAGAGTCCCCAGTTCTAACTTCCTATTGTGCTACAGCATCAACTCCCATGCCTAAGCGTTAAAGTTAATGGTGTGTGTAGCAGGAGCTGGAGATCCCAGTACATAGTCACCAACATGTACATATTTTTCTTTATTCTGGAAATGTTGAAACCCGGAAGAGGAAATCTTAAAGTAGCTTTTTCAATACAGAATTTTTATATGGTTGGAAGAAGGAAGGCTGTCTCTTCTCATGAACAGAAGGATTTCTGTAGATGAAATTTTGACAAGTTGTAATAGAAAGTATTTCTTAAAAGCCAATCTAATTTACCTATTTGATAGTCAAAAACCCCTACTGCTACAGCCAAAACTCATTACCTAAACCCAACTGCTACTTACCTATATGCAGTGTGTGGACAATGAGTAAATATATTTGTTTGAAGAAATATTGTATAAATGTTCTCCACTATCTGAAAGACTAAGATCTGTCAAGGTCATAGAAAATCATTCTGGTTTACCAGCATTTTGTTCCATGAAAATCAGGGTTCACTGATAGTTGTGAGGAGCTCAGATGGCAAGCCAGGACAGAGGAAGTGCCACCTTCTTCTCTGGACCAAGTAACTGTGAAGTCTTGATGTGGTAGGGAAGAAATGTTGACAAGTTGACATGTGAGTTAAAGCTGCTCATTTTTCATTTTACTATGACCACGTAACAACAGAAGACAACATGGCAATGAAGATTAAGTTGCCAGATGAATTATTCTGTTACATTTAGCAGGGAATGGAGTCTTTAATATTGGTATCCTTAGAAATGCCTATTTGAAAAGCAATCAGATGTTTGTACTGTGGAGTTCTTAAGTTTTACTATAAGTTTTCCACCTATATTAGTTTAGGCATGCTAGGTGGGCTAAGCCTGGGCCAAGTAGCAAGGTGATACGCATGGGTCTTAACTCCTAGTATCTGATGGCAAGCACTCAGGAATGTGGCTACCTGTTACTAGCCCTTGTAACTCAATGCTCTTCTGTTGGCCCCTCAAAGGATGTTCCCCGGAACTCTTCTGGTATGCCATCTATTCCCTAGTAGTCACTGTTATTTTATAGTCCCAACCACTTCTTATATCTAGATAAATTCTCTTTACTTTCACATAGGAAGTCTATTTCCAAGTGTGTGTGCCTAATCCCCATTCAGAATAGGGTCTTTTAGAAGAGGGACTCTGCAGATCCTGTTCTGTCTTGTCCTTCCAGTTTGTAATTTAGCAGGCTGACCTCTATAGACTTGCATGGGTTAGTCTCCTTGGCTCTAGACTTGTCTTCTTTTCTATCCACTACTCAAGAGTGATGCCAAAGCAAAATTCCTAAAATGCAAATCTTCAAATCCTTATTTGGCTCAATCCTACTTCTAGGACCCAGTTTCTTCTTTTTTAAAATTATTTATTTGAATGGTGGAGTTACAGAGAGGGAAAGATAGAGAAAGAAGATCTTCCATCCACTGGTTCACTTCACAAATGGCTGCAACATCCAGGGCTGGGCCAGGCCAAAGCCAGGAGCCAGGAGTTTCTTTTGGGTTTCCCACATGGATAGCAAGAGCCCAAGCACTTGGGCCATCTTTCACTGCTTTTCCCAGTCTGTTAGCAGGGAGTTGGATCAGAAGTGGAACAGCTGAGACAGAAAACAGCACCCATATGGTATGCCAGCTTAACCCACTATGCCAAAACACTGCCTACCACCCTCTCCCTGGTCAGTTTAATCTGCTTAGGTAAGTGTAGAAAAACTTTCATCTGTTTCTGCCTCCTCCCCCAAGTTCATTTCTTGATCCTCTAGTTTTGATCTCAACCACTTTTACTTCCACAAGTCCAGGCAAATTTACCGTTTTTGCTTTTGCAAATACTGTGCTTTTTATCTGGAGTGCCCATTTTCTTCTGGAGTCTCCCAGTGATCTTTTAAAATTTTGCCCCTTAGGCAACTTCCTTAAGTATCTATTCCATAACAACCTCATTGATACCCATCATGGTGAGCAGAATTAATTATTCTATTTTTAAGGACAGTCTCTACAACAATGGGGATGGGAAAACTGGATCCCCACAGGCAGAAGTATTAAACAAGAGCCCTACATTACACTGTACACAAAAATCTACTCAAAATGGATCAAGGGCCTAAATCTATGATACAATACCTTCAAATTACTAGGGAACATTGGAGAAACTTTGCAAGAATTTGTCATTGGCAAAGACTTCTTGGTAAAAACCCCAGAAGCACAGGCAATCAAAGCAAAAATTGACAAATGGTATTAAATCAGGCTGAAAAGCTTCTGCACTGCAAAGAAAAGACTCAGCAAAGTGAAGAGGCAACTTACAGAATGAGAGAAAATATTTGTGAACTATGAAACTGATAAAGAATTAATATCCAGATTCTATAAAGAGCTCAAAAACCTCAACAACAACAAAACTAACAATCCAGTTAAGAAATGGGCAAAGGATTTGAACAGGAATTTTTCAAAACAGGACATTCAAACAGTCAACAGATATGAAAACTGTTCAAGATCACTAGCCTTCAAGGAAATGCAAATCAAAACCACATTGAGATCAATTTCTGTTCACAATTCATCATAATGATAGGACTAAGAGTCAAAGGGATCACATAAACAAGAATAGTGTCTGCAAATACTAACCGATAGAATAAAAAAGGGAGAGAATGATCCAACATGGAAAGCGAGATACACAGCAGACTCATAGAATGGTGGATGTCCTAAACAGCACTCTGGCCTCAGAATCAGCCCTTAAGGCATTCAGATCCGGCTGAAGAGCCCATGAGAGTATTACAGACATGGAAAGCCCAGACACTCTGGAAAAAAAATGACCTAAATGAAAGATCTCCGCGTGTGAGATCCCAGTGGAAAGAAGGGTCATCAAAGAAGGAGGTACCTTTCTCTGAAGGGAGGAGAGAACTTCCACTTTGACTATGACCTTGTCTAAATACGATCAGAGTCGGTGAACTCAAAAGGCTTCCATAGCCTTGGCAACTCATGACAAGAGCCTAGGGAGATTACTGATGCCATAAACAAGAGTGTCAATTTGTTAAGTCAACAACAGGAGTCACTGTGCACTTACTCCTCATGTAGGATCTCTGTCCTTAATGTGCTATACATTGTGATTTAATGCTATAACTAGTACTCAAACAGTATTTTTCACTTTGTGTTTCTATGTGGGTGCAAACTGTTGAAATCTTTACTTAATGTATGCTAAACTGATCTTCTGTATATAAAGAGAATCGAAAATGAATCTTGATGTGAATGGAAGGAGAGAGGGAGCGGGAAAGGGGAGGGTTGTGGGTGGGAGGGAAGTTATGGGGGGGGGAAGCTATTGTAATCCATATTCTGTACTTTGGAAATTTATATTCATTAAATAAAATTTAAAAAAAAACACATTGAGTTCCACTTCACCCCTGTTAGAATGGCTGTCAAACAGAAATTAACAAACACGAAATGCTGGTGAGGATGTAGGGGAAAATGTTCCTTAATACATTGTTGGCATGGATGTAAAATGTACAGCCATTGTGGAATCAGTATGGAGAAACCTCAGCAATCAGAAAATAGATCTACCATATTACCCAGAAATCCCACTCCTGGGAATTTACCCAAGGGCAATGAAATCAGCATATGAAAGAGTTATCTGTACCCCATGTTCATTGCAGCTCAATTCACAATAGATAAGCTATGGAATCAAGCCAGATGTCCATCAACTGATGACTGGATAAAGAAATTATGGTACATATACACTTTTGAATATTACTCAAGTGGTAAAAAAAATTTCGGTCATTTGCAACGAAATGGCTACAGCTGGAAACCATTATAGTTACTGAAATAAGTCAGTCCCAAAAAGACAGATACGATATGTTCTGCTTGATCTATGGTAACTAATAGAGTACCCAAAATGTAATGTATTGGAGAGAAATTGACATTTTGAGATTTGATGATCATTTAAAGCTCTTGTCTGTAGTGATGAGGAAGAGTGTTTTGTTCTTTTTTCTTCATACTATTTGTTGAACTCCTTACTTAGGTGCTTAGAACTCTTTACTGAGAACTTAGATTAATCTTATGAGTATAAATTTAGCTGAAAATAGAGCTTTGTAAAAATTAAGAATGGGAATAGTAAAGGAAGGAGGAAAAAAGGTGGGAGCATGGGTGGGAGGAAGGGTGGGATGGGAAGTATCACTATGTTCCTAAATCTGTATATATGTAATGCATGAAATTTGTGTACCTTAAGTAAAATCTAGAAAAAAATTACTCCATTTTTATGTGAAATTTCAAGTCTAGTCTTATATGTATGTGTTTGTACTAGATGTTGTGGGTCCAGAAATGAGTAAGCATCAATGTTCTTAATTTCACTGTCAGGATAGCACAGCTGGGAACATAACAGAGTCTTAGAAAGACAAAACAATGCAGAATTTAAGGAACTGTTACTGCTTCAGGAGACTCAATTCTGAATAAACATGATAAATTGTAATTATAAAAATTTCTTTGGAAAATTTAATATTAACATTTCTGACTCTTGCCTATGTTCCCATTTATGCCTGAATGATAAAGAACAAGAATTGGGTGCTCATGCTTTTAAAACTGGTATCTTGTAAAGGGTGATGAATCACACACAATTTTGCTGATAAAAATTTTGAGAATATGAAACCCTGGGGAAGATCAAAAAGAATAGCTAACTTTCTCTTGCCCACAAAAGAGATATTTACAGTAAAATTCTATTACAAGAAAAAATATCACCTAATATAGTAATTTTACTTAGAATTGGATAAGTAGTATCCAATTTATGTTTCTTCCCCTTAATTTTTTTTTACTTTTAATTTCTGAAAACTTTTATTTAATAAATATAAATTTCATAGGCACAGCTTTTGGAATATAGCAGTCTTTCCCCTATACCTGCCTTTCTACTCCCAAAACATCCCACTTCCTATTCCCTCTCCCATCCCATTCTTAATTAAGATTCATTTTTAATTATATTTATATACATAAGATCAACTCTATACTAAGTAAAGATTTCAACAGTTTGTACCCACACAGACACACATATAGAAATTGATCATGGTTTGGGTTTGTTTAAAAGAGAAGAAGAGAAGGAGTATTAAAAATTGATCATGTTGTGAAACAGGTATTAAAAATTAATGAGCTAATACTACCTGAAGAGATTTGATAGGACCTGCCACAATGATCAGATTGAAGTTCTCCGTGCTCACTTCCTGCTTCTCAAAGAACTGAAATAACAAGTAAATAACTACATTTTAAGGTGAGTGCTCAAGGAAGAACTTTGGAACAGAGCAAGGAAGAGAAGGGTACCCTATAGCACTAAGAAGTTTGGCATGGCAGTGTGATGAGAGGATCAAAACACACAGGCAACTCTAATCCTGGCTCCCAAGTAGGGAAATGCCCACTGCAGGGGAGTGAGTGGAAAGACTCCAGTAGACTACACCTATGGAATGAATGTCAGAACTCAGCTTTAGGAGGGATCTACAGTGATAACAGACTTTGAGTACTAAGTAAGTGGACCAACTTGGAGTACACATAGTAACTGCTTTAGGAACTTACACGGTCTCCCTCACAATACCCAGACAGGCTGTGATAGTGTGATGTAATTTTGAAAATGGAATTGCTTTTGGAATTCATACAGCCTTAGGGGAAAGAAGCCCCTGAATATCTCT